AAAAAAAAAAAAAAAAAGAGGCCATTGTAGCAATTCAGGGGAGAAATGAATCCAGGCGAGAGATGATGGGAGGTTTGGACCAGGGAAGACGGAGAGAAGTGGAGAGATTCCAGATGTATTTGTGAGACAAAACTGGTAATTGGGGTAAGGGAGGTGAAGGAGACAGAGGGATCACGGAAGACCTCCTTGGTTTCTGGTTTAGGCTTCTTGACAGATGGCGGAGCTATGCAATTGAGAGAGGGAATCCTGGGAGAGATTATGAAATCTCTGTATTTTCCGCAAGAATGTTTGTTTGCTTCCCTTGCGAGTGTAAGAGGGAGCCGGGAACATTGAGGCTTGGGGCTAGGACTCAGCAGCTCCTCTGCCCTTGCCGAGAACTCTGTCTATATCTGTATTACAACACTTACCATAGTGTATTCACTTTACAAGGTATTGCACCCAGTGAACCATGACTAGCAGAGAGCAAGGGCAGAGTTTCTTCTCGGTGTCTCTAGGACTTTGCCCAGCAGCTGGCCCCGCCCCCTCTAGCGCTCTCCGCCTAGCTCCGCCCCCAGGAGATTTCCGGCTTCTCCGTACTTGCCTAGTCGTAAAGGGCTCGGGTCTGCAGCTAGAGCAACCGTTTCCTCCTCAGTTGGACCAGAGTGATTGATTAGTTTGTTGTCCAATCATCAGCCGAGTGGCCACATAATTACCAATTAGGCAGTAGCAGAGGCGGGTACCGAAGCACGGGGTCTGGGTGACTAGATGTGACTAGGAAGTAAGAGCCGAGACTGCGAAGAACGCATCAAGTCCAGGCGGCGGTGGAAAGGTGACGTGGTATCTGAATTCCATGGGTTTTTTCCTTTTCCCATTGCTGGGTTAAGAGCCCCTTCGCAGCTTGGGGCTAGGATCTTCATTTGCCTTTTTTCTTTTTTGGAGGAATTGGGCTGTGTCCATTTATTTAAGTATTTGAGGTTCTTGAGCAACTTCCTTCTTCGCCTCCAGGCGTATCCTTTTCTTAGCCTGAGGTGAGGTCCTCCCCAGGGAGAAAGTTGTTTGAGATCCTTTCTTACTCTGTGGGTGGTTAAAGGCCTCCGGACTCAGTTCCAGGAAAGGGGGATGAATGATGGAGGTGCTGAGACTCGCGGGCTATGCCCTCTTGCGAAGAGTTAGACGCTTCAACCTGGGTGGAGGGGCCCTGGGAACTAGATTCCTGTGTTAGGAACCAAGTAGGTATTGAGGGCGAAGAAACAAGTGGAAAGAGACATTTCTTTCTTTTTTTTTTTTTCGAGGCGGTGTCTCGCTCTGTTGCCTAGGCTAGAGTGCAGTGGCGCGATCTCAGCTCACTGTAACCTCCGCCTCCCAGGTTCAAGCGATTCTCCTGCCTCAGCCTCCCGAGTAACTGGGATTACAGGCGCCCGCCACCGCGCCCGGCTAATTTTTAGATTTTTAGTAGAGACGGGGTTTAACGATGTTGGCCAGGCTGGTCTCGAATTCCTGACCTCGTGATCCACCCGCTTTGGCCTCCCAAAGTGCTGGGATTACAAGCGTGAGCCACCGCGCCCAGCCAGAAAAGAGATGTGTCTTATGTGGAAGTCTCCAGGTGGGAGAGCCTACTGTGGGGTGGAAGACGTTAGGGCTGGGCTCCGGTGCTAAGTCCACTTCCTACCTCTAGACTGTCATCTTTTTTGCCTCATTTCTTTCTCCTCAGGCTGGAGGACACACCTAAACATGTGGAATCCCAATGCCGGTAGGTGTTTGGGGGTTCTGTACGACCCCTAACCCGTTTTCTGATGGACTCTGTAACAGGAAGTTTCTCTATCAGCTGCCCCACCCCCGACCCGCCACACCCGCAAAAGCAAAGTCCTTAGTCTACAGCTGACCAGTGCTTTTTTATTTTATTTTATTTATTTATTTTATTTATTTATTTATTTTTTTGAGACAGAGTCTCGCTCTGTCACCCAGGCTGGAGTGCAGTGGCCGGATCTCAGCTCACTGCAAGCTCCGCCTCCCGGGTTCACGCCATTCTCCTGCCTCAGCCTCCCGAGTAACTGGGACTACAGGCGCCCGCCACCTCGCCCGGCTAGTTTTTTGTATTTTTTTTGGTAGAGACGGGGTTTCACCGTGTTAGTCAGGCTGGTCTCGATCTCCTGACCTCGTGATCCGCCCGTCTCGGCCTCCCTAAGTGCTGGGATTACAGGCGTGAGCCACCGCGCCCGGCATATTTATTTATTTTTTGAGACGGAGTCTCTGTCGCCCAGGCTGGAGTGCAGTGGCGCGATCTCCGCTCACTGCAACCTCCGCCTCCTGGGTTCAAGCGATTCTCCTGTTTCAGCCTCTGGAGTAGCTGAGATTACAGGCGTGCGCCATCACGCCCGACTACTTTTTGTATTTTTAGTAGAGACGGGGTTTCACCATGTTGGCCAGGCTGGTCTTGAACTCCTGGCCTCATGTGATCTGTCTACCTCGGCCTCCCAAACTGCTGGGATTACAGGCTTGAGCCACCACGCCCCACCGGCCTGACCAGTGCTTTTGTCTTCCTCAGAGTTCACTGTCTCTCTCCTCTCTCCAGCCTTTCCGGGGACATTCCCCCTTTTATCCCCAACTCAGGTTTGTCTCCCCTACCCTCTATTCTCCTTTGTCACTTTTCCATTTCCCTTTAAGTATTGGGTGAGAAAGAATCTCTTTCTTTTTGTTGTTTGTTGTGGGAGACTCTGGGGAATTCTAATGTTTATTATCTGCTTCTTCCCCCAGGGCAGCCAGGGCCAAATCCATATACCCCCAACATCGGGTGCCCTGGAGGTTCCAATCCTGCCCACCCACCACCTATTAACCCACTCTTTCCCTCAGGCCCCTGTCCTCCTCCCCCAGGAGCTCCCCAGGGCAATCCAGCTTTCCCCCCAGGTGGGCCCCCTCATCATGTGCCACAGCCAGGGTATCCAGGATGCCAACCCTTGGGTCCCTACCCTCCTCCATACCCACCGCCTGCCCCTGGAATCCCTCCTGTGAATCCCTTGGCTCCTGGCATGGTCGGACCAGCAGTGATAGTGGACAAGAAGATGCAGAAGAAAATGAAGAAAGCTCATAAAAAGATGAACAAGCACCACAAGCACCACAAGCGTGGCAAGGTCAGTACCCTCTGGAGCCTGGCTAGGGAAGGGGTACCCCCTTAGAGGGACTAGGTAGGCAGGGGTTGGGTGAGGGGGATTCACATTCTGTGGACGTGGGGGATGACGATTGTGTCACTCTGGTCGATGATTCTTCCTTTTTGTAAAAGATTGCTACTGGGAAGAATCTGATTATCTTGAAAAGAAACATCAGGCTTCTCCTATCTGGGAGGAGCTAGGGTGAGCCTTAAAATGAATTTTTAGAATCAAAAGCCAAATCTTTTCTGCCCTACTCTCTCCCAGAACTTTTGCTCCCCTCCCCGCAGGTGCATATCCTAGCAAGTTGGACCCCCTCACTGACATTATCAAAACATCAATTAAAGTCATTCCTTTGACAAAGCAAAGTCTTATAATAATTAACAGAATAATAATATGGCCCTAGTTCCTGGAGTTCTTTCTCTCTTTCAGTGTTCTTAGGGCCTTGTGTTAATTACATGGGCCCTTTGCCCTATCATCCAGCAGAAAAAGTGAGGACAAGAGCAGTCAGTGACTCAGCCTCTAACAGCCTAGGACTAAAGAGGTTTTATACTCAGCCCCAAGGCTGAGTATCTTTGTTTTAGGGGACTGTTAAAAATTAGTAAGGATCATGCCTGTAATCCCAGCACTTGGGAATTATTAGCTGGGTGTGGTGGCGCATGCCTGTAATCCCAGCTACTCAGGAGGCTGAGGCAGGCGAATTGCTTGAACCCGGGAGGCGGAGGTTGCAGTGAGCCCAGATCTCACCACTGCACTCCAGCCTCGATGACAGACAAGACTCCATCTCAAAAAAAAAAAGTGCAAGGATAAAAGCAACTCTGAGGACAACTCTGGAAGGATTAAACCAATCTGCATCTTGATGAGGCCTCCATTTACATTTAACTGCCCAGTAAATTTATTTGCCTTGTGGATTCTAATTCCTGATTCTGGGTATTTGATAGAAGTCTGAAGAGAAGGCCAGGCACCGTGGTCCACACCTGTAATCCCAGCACTTTGGGAGTCCGGGGCAGGCAGATCACGAGGTCAGGAGTTCGAAACCAGCCTAGCCAACATGGCAAAACATGTCTACTAAAGATACAAAAAGTTATCTGGGCATGGTGCTGTGTGCCTGTAATCCCAGGTACTCCGGAGACTGAGGCGGGAGAATCTCTTTTTTTTTTTTTTTTTTTTTT